CCCCCCAAAAAAGCACCTGCCATCTTCTACTAAACCAAAAGTATGTAGCGTGTCTGAAGGTTGGTTTTATTGTCTTTGAAAGGATGAAAACCCAAAACAAAATAGTTTACAGGATGGTAGCTACATGCAATACAAAAATATGAATTCTTACATGACATAAAAACATGGATTGACCCATTCTAAAAAAAAAATGTACAATACATCTTCAACAGCATTTTGTACATGAAAAAAATATATATAAAGACTGTACATTAAGAGGGGAGCAGTACCTATTAAAAATGTTATGACGTACAGTATAATATAAAATGTTTATACAAATATTAAAAGAATTATGTTAGCTGTACATTAAATAAAACAAAAATATATATAATGTTGATATTTCAATAAAACTCAATTACTGCTATTTTTCACAGAATTAACCCCTAAGCATCCTCCTCACCAACATTCTCACCCACACAAACCCTTTCACACTCACACACAAAAGAGGTAATATTTTTAAAATAAGTTACCTATTAAACACAGCCAGGCCAGGCCTGGGTTTTGCTTAGATGCAGGAGAGATTTTCTAAGTACACACTCAAAACCTGTTGCACACACTATTACTGTCATGACATTGGCCAGTCTTGTTGACAAACCATTTCTTCGCGCAAAAAGCTGTTTTGCCAAACCATGGTTGAACACAGATAAAGTCCCCACTGAAGTGATGGAACTGTAAAAAGAAAAACGAACCTGCATTCCCTCTTGCCTAAAGAGTGCATAAGCAATTACATCCTAGTACAATGTACTACAAGCCTTGAGCTTTGAAGAAAAGGTGCAAATTTGATTTGATCCGAAATCAGTCCCATTCTGATCCCACAGCATGTCCAACATGATTTTCACATGCCACCAGAGAATGTGGGCTGAGAGCACAGCCTGTCTGCTTCCTTGAAATAGATGTGCTGCACTCCGACGGAGTTCAAGTTTCGAAGCACGATCGATAACTGCAACCACCACAGCTGTACAAATCCCTGTGTAGTGCTCTTTTTCTATCTCAGGTGCACAAAGCTTCTTACGGCTCATAAGATGCAGATGACAAGAGCGATTTACTCCCAGTACTGACATCCCAAAAACATCCTGGAGACGATCAAGATGTGCTTTTAAAAAAAGAAACCAGGTGCTCTGTAATTTTGCGGTCCCCTGACGGACGGACTCGTATGTCGTATCTGGAACTCGAGGTGCACAGCTTCCATTTTGGTGGGAACTGAAAAGCACCTCAAAATCATTCGTTTGAAGGCAAGGAGGCAGGCAGGCCTGAAGCTGCTATGTGTTCCTCTGACTGGGCCAAAAGAGGATTTTTTCCAAATGAGGAAGGGAGGAGAAAATGTTTTTGATTGAAAAACAGAAATAAAAAAAACAACATGTACAATCAAGACTTCTGGCCTAGTTATTTTTTTTTTGATTACTCCTCAGCAGGTGAAATCCAGAGCAAAGGATTTAGTACAAAAAAACAAACCGTAACTATTATACTGTAGGTCAGTTATTAGAACAGTATTACAATTGTCAGCATAGACACTTCCCAAAGAGCTTGTGACTCAAAAAACCAAAGGCGGAGAGAAAGCAGCAAAGAAAGAAGAAAAAAACAATGCCATTGTTGTCATGTCCAAAAGTTACAGATGGAAGATCAGGCTTTTGGATTAGTGGAAGCAGCTTCTGTCTCAGGCGGAGCTGTTGCAGTGCTTTTCTTTTTTTTTTTAAAGAGTTAAGGATTTGAAAGCATGCAAGGCAGACCCAGGTTTTGCACCGACAGCTACAACCTATATTAAGAAGAAAAACAGAAGGAAAGCCAGTGGTTAGATTGTGTTAGATAGGTCACAGCTGGTCAAACGACAGAGCAAGAGGTACGAGGGCCTGATCAGTGTTCAGTGTACTGTAGGTACAGATGTCTAACGGAACAGAATTCCTGTCTCCGCCGTTCGGCAGTGGAAATTCTCTACGTGCGAGCATGCCCTGCACAACTGTATGAAACCTTCTTAATCACACTAATGCTTGACTGCATCCTGCCTATACCCCTGTGCTATCTCGGGACAGACTTGTCACAGACAGTATAGGCTGCATCGCTGCCATTCAGAACTAGGCTTCAATGCCAGTAACCCTGGCATTCTGGGCTTTGGGCTAAGACAGCTCAGGTCCAGAAAGGGGATGTCAGATCTTAAGATCTCGGAGTCTCAGGTGGCCACAGGGTCTTCTGGTTTTCCTTTCAAATAAGCATACTCAAATGTTTAATTGAATCTTGATCTATACTCCTGTGTGTAAGACGTATTTACAGCTGATTTAAAAGGTGCACATGACAACAATACTGTACCTATTAAGACATGTTATAGCCTAGTCCAAAGTCACCCCGAGTTTACAGGGGACGACGGGGACAGGAGACACTGAGGTGTCCACATCCCTGGGGTTTGGGTGCGCAGCACTGATCACACCTCACACAGAGTTATTTGTAAATGACAGGACAGTAGAGATGAAGTCCCTGGCAACAGTGCCCCCTCAGGCAGGAGTCATGCCATCGACTTCAGATGATCAGGGTTTGTGAAGCAAGGGGAGACCGAAAACGTGCAGGGAATCCAGTGGGGAACAGGAATTTACAAGAGCGCAAGTTGAGGCATGGGGGAGCAGGGGAATGCAGGGGAATGAAGGGTTTGGAGAGAGAGAGATGGAGGCAGGACGAATCAGGGTCCACAGGAGGCAGGGGCACAGGATGGCACCAGGAGGCCAGAATGCAGCATCCCATTTCCCAGCCCAGGGAGAGGAAAGCCGGTGGGAGATTTTGGGAAAGAGACAGAAGAGGCAAATCAGAAACAAAAAGAAAAGGGAGGAGAAAAATAAATCAGAAATCCAAAGATAGGAAACAAAAAACAAATGCTAAAATACTGTTTTGAGTATAGGTGAGTATAGATACAGTCCATCTATCATTCCACCATAACCAACTGATTAATAAGTTAAAAAAAAAAACTGAATGAGTGAAAAAGCACTTGAGGGCTGGTGAGCTTTTATGTGGACATGCACAGATGGAGGAGAGGAGCCTGAAAACACCCAGGAGGTACAGAGCAGACTTCAGGATGGGTGGGTATTTGATGGAAAACCACATCTCTGAACTCCTGGGATTGTAGACACCCCTCTATCCCTGTCCCCATAAGGAGTTTTTCATTAAGACAAGCTTAGGGACTGTGGGCCCAAGCATAACTCGCACAAGAAGCACAAAGCTGATCTCTCAATACACCACTCCAACTCGGGAGCTGTTCGCGGGCAGCTCTCATGAATCCTGCTGTTCCCTTGTACGTGTGGTCTGAGACTGAGTTTAGGACAGGGGGCACTTCTGTGGGAGTATGGAACAAGCTAGCCAGTACACTGGCTTCTCTCCAGAAACGGCTGGATGAGATCACTGGATCAATTTACTCATTACCAATCAGGCTAGATGGACCTAATAGCCTCTTCTCTTTCAGAACAATTCTTGTGATCAGAAGAGTTTTTCTGCATTAATGATACTGACAGAGCCTTCCACATGAGGGAACGGATCATGGCTGAGTATACTTGAAGAAGATCAAAGCAGGGCTGCAGGAACTAGAACGAGGAACCCATTCTATGCTCAAGAGTGCTTAGTACATGATTTTCCCAAGGGATTCCCCGAGAGTTCCTCTGTTCCCAAGGACACCACATGAGCCAGGAGCAGAGCAGCAGGTCCATCCCGGCCTCCTGCTCATCCCAACATGGCTCCGCCTTTGGGCTCCTTTGCTGCCAATGCAGATCTCCCTGGCCACAAGGTCCTGATCATTGTACGGTGTGATGCCATGGCTGGGGCTCAACTAAGGCGAACCCTCCTGGGGTTCTCACCGCCTGCAGCTAAGGGTTCCAAGTGTTTTTTGTCTACTTCCGGCTGCAAGTATCCCTGTAAGCCCACTCAAGAGGGGCATGGACACCTGTATTCCGCATGTTATTATGCATCACTGCAAAGACCTTTCGGGTGGCTCTATCTACCCTGGAGTGTCCAGCATTAGGCTGCGGCTTCCCATATGTTAGAAGTCCTGTACACGCAGCGGAGCGCTCAAGCTATATATAGGGATCCAAACCACTGCAAGCAAGCCAGGGCTTCCCTGTCCATCCCGAGTATCCTTTGAGTCATGATACGGTCCATTTTAAAGAGCACGTGCAGGGGTGCGGGGGGGGGGGAGGCGTGAGCGTCTGGCTCCACACGGCTCTCTAGGATACATACTCTGCAGATTTCCAGAAGTGCCCCGGGTGGGACAGTCTTCTGTTGAGTTTTGGCAGTTTTTCAAGCATGTCTGCGAGCAGCGTGAAGGTGGGGCGTTCTCTCAGCTCATAGGACCAGCAGGCCGATAGGATCTCCTGACACGGAAAGAGAAAGAAAGACAGGACAGGTGTTGGTTTGTCTTCTGGCATGTTGTTTACAAATTATAATTCCGCCTACTATTTTATTCATGGAGGAAAACGTTTCCCGTTTCCTCTTGAAGTCTTAACGAACACGCTGTACACATTTAGGGTGTATTCTGTATTGACTTGCGTCTCTTATTGAGCCTTTCATGCCTCTGGCCCCACTCTCCTTTATTGTACAGGGAATACAGTCGGCGGTCCTACCGTGACTTCCTTTCCGAGGCTGATTTCCGATAAGACCTTCCTGATTCCTTCTCCGCTGCCCACCTGCCAGATGGTGGCCTCCACGGGCTGGCTCTTGATGGGCCAGTCCCGAGCCTGCAGCTCGTACCAGATAGTGCTACATAGGAAGCGAGAGAGAGACAGCGGTCACGCCACTGCAGGAAAAGCGTTCTGGACCGAGCAGGTGAGATGAGGCGTAGCAGATCATGCTCAACAACCCCACCCAGGGGTGAAGCCCATACCCGAAAGCGTAGACATCGGCCGCGTTGGAGAAGGGCAAGCGGTCCTCGTCCCCTCCGGGGGACATCCTGCGCACGATCTCGGGAGCCAGGTAGCAGATCCAGCCATGAGGCACCTTCAGCTCATTCTCCCTCCTGCAACACAGGGGCAGTGCTGACACACCACCGCAGACCATGCACCACACAGCCACAGCACCTCTCCACCCAATCCCACTGGGGACTGGAGAGCTCGGAAATTAATTTCCGGACATCCAGGAAAGTCAATCAAATGAGCTTTCTCCCTGCTCCTCAGATTCTACCACAATAAGACACCATATCTTGCCTGTATTTCTTGGCCTTTCTACATCATGATTGAATCCTTACTTATGACGAGCAGTTGTTCTCCATGTGTCCCAACTCAGAATTAACCTCATCCAGAAAATTACAAAATAAATAAAGCGGCGAGTTAACAAGGGTGATATTACCTCCCTTCCTGGACAACTCCAGACATTCCGAAAAGTCCGAAATCTGTGATGACCACTTTGTTCGAGTCATAAAAGACGTTCTTGGACTTCAAGTCCTTGTGCACAATGCCTTTTGCATGAAGGTAGCCCATTCCCTGGAGGACAAAAACAGCAGAGGGGTCAGGACTAAGACACGTGTAAAGGGACGCCCCCTTGAAGTCACACAGAAGCAAGAATTTCTTTTGACAAAAGAGAAAAGAAAAACATCCACCTTTACAATTTCCTGAGCAATCTGCCTTGTCTTGTTGATGTCCAGTGTGTTTTTGGCATCTCTCACAACAGAGTACAGCGTCCGTCCTTTACAGAAGCTGGGGAGAATTCAAGCAAAGCCCCCGTTAACAACCTCGGCTTAAAGACCGGCCCATCACGTCACTGTGGTCAAAGCTGTAAAAGTCTCTCCGTCATAAGTGAATGCCGGCAACACCGCTTGTGCAATGTTGATCTCAGCACTTCTCCCTGTCTGTCGCTGTTCGGCTTGGCGAGGGGTCTCACGCCCTTTCTCTTTCATCTTTCCAGATCCTCCCCACCCTCGACCTCTCCTGCTCGCAGTCGCTCTGCCCCCGCCCTCTCTCCCTGAAGCCTGGGACTTTCTCTCCATCGCGCCGCCTGCCTCACCTGGTGATGATGGCCAGGTGGGGCGGGTTCATGCAGGCGCCCATGAACAGCACCACGTTCTCGTGCCGCGTCTGCCTGTAGTTCATCACCTCCTTCTTGAAGAGCTTGAGGTGGTCCTGGTTGTTGCCGTCGATCTCCAGCAGGCGCACGGCCACCTCCCCGTGCCAGCGGCCCTTGTGCACTTTCCCCCAGCGGCCCTTGCCGATGAGCTCGCCCAGCTCCAGCTGCTCGTACGGGATGTCCCACTCCTGCAGGTACACGCTGGTCTGGCTGGCCTTGCGGGAGATGGGGCCCTTCCAGTGGCTCCACTGGCTGGGCAGGTCATCCAGTTCGTCGGCCTCGTACTCGCCATCCGAGCCTCCCTTCCCCCCTCCCTCTTCGTCCCCCTCCCCTTCCTCCTCCTCCTCCTCTTCCTCCCCCTCCTCCTCCTCGGCCTCCTTGTTTTCCTGCAAGGCAGCGTGCACAAAACGACACATGCTCACTCGTCAGGGATGACATCATCATCAACATCAAAACCAGATTACTCAGTCGTGTGGGACAAAAGTGGCCGATCAGATCTGCAGGAAACTACAAAATCTATTCAAGCCCATGTAGGGGGCAGAGTATTCATACAGAACAATGAATATAAAACACAGTGGGAACGTTTCCTTCTACTGCAATGTTGGTTTTGCAGATCAATACAAAACACTTCATCCTTTGCTCCGAGATCTCTCGGCCACCTCACGGACAACGTACCCCTGCATCCTGCTCTCCGGACCTCTGAGACTCGCTATCCTCTTTTGCTGTGGGATCCATCTCACTGCAGGGTGAAATGGAGAGGCAGAGAGCGGTTTACACAAGCCTGCTCAATGACAAGTGCGTGTGAGAGTCATTTGTGCTGGTGAAGGGTATTGTGGCTCGTGAAACACTTTCCATGCAAATTATAGTCAATAAAGGCCACACCTGTGACGTTGCTCTCGTACAAAAAGTGAGACACCATTTAAAATTTTCAAAATTTTGGCCTATTCCAGCAATATTTTAGATGCACAGTACACTGACCAGTTGTGATTTTAGCCCATGATGTGCTGACAAGGGCAAATGGTTGGACTGACATCCTGTACCTCCAGCATCCTCATGTAGTGTATATCTCCTACAAAAAATGCCCAGCTATCTACGTTGGGGAAACCGGAAGGAGACTAGGAGACCGCTTCAGAGATCATGTTAGGGCTGTGAAGATTAAAGATTTCTCCAAGCCCATAGTTTCTCATTTCACCTCAGACGGCCATGACCACCCTGATCTCTCTGTTTCTGTTCTCAAAGAAGGGTTTCTCATCTCCCATAGCAGAAAAACGACAGAAACGAAACTCATCCTGAAACTAGGTCTACACTGTCCCTCTTCTCTCAATGACAGACTTATTTTCGTGTGATCTTCTCTATTCTCATGCAGATTTTGACTTTACACCTTTCTTCACCCCTCTCAACTCTGCACTTCCTGAGTGGCCTCTCTGCCTCTCCCCTCTCCCAGCTTGTGTTCTTCTGTGCTTATTTCATCTTTGCTGTCTGCCTTGTCTATCTCACACCTGAAGAACAGCCGAAACGATGTGTTTTCTGTCCTCTCTTTTCAGCATGGAATAAACCTATTACTTGTTCTTTTGCAGGCTATGCATACTGAAGCAGCTACCCACCTGAACCACTGAAAAAACATGCCGATTCAGTTTAACAATGTGGTGTTTCACTAAAACAAAGTGTCAACGCCTGCAGTTAAGTAAAAAATGCACATTTTCAAACCACTAATTATCTATAAAAGCAGGTAATTAGATCAAGATTTTCTATGCACCAATCTTTTCATATATCAGGCAATCTTACACATTGTCTTGTATCCCTTCAGGGTGTAGGATCACTGGTTGTGGTGAACTGGGCACATCTAGATGGGAACAAGGATAATCTGGTTTAGATTAGAGTCAGATGTTCAGCCTGTAGAGTAGAGTAGAGCCTCTGCTCTTTTCTTTACCTATAGTTTTGCAAAAGAGTTGCTCAAATAACTGCACGGACAGGTAAACATGCCTGGACTGACACCTGCTGGCGAGACAGTGCACTTCTGGATTTGTCCACAAGAGGTCACACATGTACCGTGCAAATCAGAGATGTACCTACTTTACAGCTTTGCTGACAATCTCCACAAGAAGCCATACAAATAACACACTACTGGCCAAGGTGTCCAATTTTGATCCTGAAGTCCTGCAGTCCACTAGGTTTTTTAGTTCTGGTAACGATCAACACGTGAATAGGAAAAAGCCGTAAAACCATTAACTCAAATTCAAGCCGCAATCAGTGGAACGAGGCCCGTCAGGGGCAGCACTGGAGCGAAAACCTACAGACATAGATGCCCTCCGGGACCAGAAGTGAACACCTCAGCCCTGACGCCAAGCAAGCTGAAAACTCCCGAGCCTGGCCGTGCTCAGACACATCCGAATCTCCAAAAACGTTTAAAATAAAAAACAAAAACAGCTTGCAGGTGAGGCGATAAACCAAAGCATTACAAAATCATTCGGCAAGGTTATCCAAAATCCAGAACGATCCAGTGGGAACAGAAGGAACAGGGCTGAAGCAAGAGGGACAGGACAGGTCTATGCAGCACCACTCCGAGAGAGGGAGAACGTGAACTCACCAGGGAAGATAAACTGCTGTCTATGCTGAAAGTAGCAGGCAGCTTGAAAACAAAGGGAAGCCCCCAGGCATGGAGAAAGAGACACATGGGATTAGAGAAGCTGTTAGAAATCTTCCCATACAAAACCCCCTCCCACCCCCCCCCTCCTTCCCAGTCAGCCACGGGTTAGTCTGGTTAAAACGCTGACAGCGGCGAGGACAAAGATCGTTTTCGATTGCAGTTGTCAAACTGTGCCGCTGTCTGAAAACAGGCCCCTTCTACTCATCAGTATGGCTTCAGTCAAACACTGCTCAGAGGGCGGTGAATTCAAGCAAGCATCAGGCCATGCCAGTAAAACGAGCCGTGTCTGTGCGCGGGCGAGGGGCGTGCCCCGAGACTCACCGGGGAAGTTGAAGCGGCTGTCGCGGGGCCCCTTGGGCGAGGGGTTGGGGGGCGGCGTGGCGCTGGGGGGGTTGCTCTGCTGGAAGGGGGCCGGGGAGGAAGGAGTGGAAGAGGTGGTGGAGGAGGGGTTGCTGCTGGAGTCGAGCTGGTTCAGCACCGGCGCGTGATCCTGCGGAGAGATGAAAGGGAGAGCCCACATAGCCCACTGAGCCCAGGCCTGGAAGAACCGGAGGGGCGCCCGCCGCCCAGCCCCGGCGCGCCCCGCCGCCTCTCAGACGGTGCCTGGCGGCCGCCTCACCTTTTTGGTTATGGCCTTCGGGAGGGTGCCGAACTGCGGCGCCTCCGCCGGCCGGTCCACGGGGTTGTTGATGTCCGATGGCACCGACTCCGTCCTGCGGATCTTTGCGACTGCAAAACAATGGGACAGCAGGCGGCACGATGACTCCGAGGAAACGCCAATGTCATAATCCCCCGCGTGCTCGAGCGAAATGAGAGGCGGCGAGAGGCGACAGCACTCACTTGGGAGAAACGATATTCGGCAGGAAGGGGCTTCTTTCGTACATTTGTTATGGCACTTCAACCTGCAAGAACGGGCAGAAAACGCACTCAGTCGTAATACCCGCAGGCGGAAACACCAGGGAAACTCAAGAGTCTGCCCCAGAAACATCCTGCCTGGGGGCTCGGGTCCGGAACGTACTTGCAGTGTTTGCACTTAACGCCGAACATCATGTTCCTCTGGCACACCTGGCACGTCTGCGACAGCCACGACTTTGTGGAGAACCTGTCGGAAGAACAAAAACAATGCGATGATCAGAGACGTCACTGTGGCTTCAGAATGGAGGCCGTGTCTCCGTGGAACTTTCCATTCGCCCAGCAGGCTTCCGACTTCATTGACCTTCATGCTAACTGCGTCTGGGGCCAGGGATGGCTTTGCTAACTAGGGATGATAAGGAAAAGTCAATGGAATTAGGCTCCAGTTGCATTGGGCGATTTCAGTGGATTGCTCTAAAAGATGCGGGCCCCAGGAGAACAAAACACAGTGTTTTCTCATAAGAAAAAGAGGAGTAATTCTGGGTTTATGGCTTTGCGAAGTAAATGAGTGGCTCAATTGGTAAAGGCACTTGCCCAGGCATGGCTTGAGCACCAGGTGTTATGACACAGCTTGCTGAAACAGGCAGCTGCGTCTTGCCGACAGACTGGGAATCTAAGTGCTAGGAGCTCAGTGGGCTCAGCGTGAATCGGAGGCTGGCAGAGACAGACAGGGATTATGGAAGTGAAATGGCGAATGGGATCTGGACAGGGCTGGATGAGAGCACAGATACCAGGGTCCAAGCAGACAGAGGTACTGTGCTGCCGTGCAGAGATCAGAGCCACTGGCACAGTGCTAGGCAGGAGGGTGACTGCTGACAGGCAAAACAAGTTCAGGACGGACTAGGACTCCTTCAGGCAGGATCGGGCAGAGAATCCTTCGGCATCACAGGTTAGTACTGCTAACTACACTACCTTGGTCTGTGGTAGCTCAATGACAGAGCACCAGATCAGGGGCAAAGCAGGGTTGGAATGTTGTGGTCCTGATGATGGAAGCGCCCGTATATTGTACGAGGGCGGATGGGATAATGAGCCCAAATTAGTGGAATGAGCCGGTGGAATGCAACCCCTTGCGGGAATATGCTCGTTTTCCAAAGACACCGAGTTCAGATTTTCTCCCCAAAAATCTCTGCCGATGGAAATGAATGGCACATCTCACCTGTGCGTGATGGCTAAACCAATATCCCTTCTGACAGCCTGCGGAGACCCTCGATGGACAGCTACATTATCTAGGACAAGGGAGACAGAGCAGGAGTGAGCCAAGAGCCAGCAGTAATGTTCCAGGGATTGCAAGTGTTCCTACGCAAGTAAATGGCAAGTCATGTTTTTAAACACACAAGCCTGTTACAGGGAAAAAGAAGAGAATTTGCAGGGATAACAAAGATGACAGATGCAACTAACCATTTTTCATAGGTATTTGTAATCAGATATAGTGTCTTCTTAAAAAAAGACAGATCTGGGGATTACTGTGTATTTTAACAGAGAACATCATTTACAGTAACACTATGATTTTCACACAGAAGAACACCCACACAGGAAATGCAACAGTCCGTATCTTGCAGCTATCAAGTCATCTAGGGACATCAGCAGAAGTGAATTAATTTGCAGATGTGCAGGGACAGATTCACTATCTTAGTGAAAGAAACAGACCCTCTCATGCAATTCATTTTCTACAGCATCAACAGGCTGTCTGTAGCAAGATCTGTGTCTTTCCCGGATGACATCACCAGAAAGGAACGCTTGGGAACTGCTCTTGTACTTATGTGTCAGCGTGATATATAGACCTTCCACATTTCACCATGACCACAGATCTACAGAGTCAGTGGGTGTTTTTTTTACACCTCTTTCTAACCGAGACAGGAGGTTGCTGGATCCATTTGGGGGGATGGAGCCGAGAGTTTAGCTGAGAGTTTGAAAATGTACGGGATTAAAACTGAGGCTGGGAAGACAAAGTTGGAATATTTTCCCACTTTCTGTCCAGACTCGACCGACCGGCACTGCGCCAAATTCCCTCTCATGGGCTCGCACATGAGGGAGATCCTTCTGCGCCCATCCCCCTCGCAAGAAATCTGCAAACGGGGCTCTTGTTTTAATTGACATACCGCTTGGGAATTGTAACACCCGTCTAACAAATTCTTAAAGTCTGTTAGGATAACTGGTTTGGTTTCTTCTGATACCCCTGACCCCTCCCCCAAGCCACGTCCAACATTTCTTCTCACTTCTGCTCCCCCGTGTCTGTGTCTTGCAAGGAATTAAGAAACAAGCAAAGGTTTTAAACTCTGTAGCAGACCTGCACCCTCTCCCTCCTTCAGCAGTCAATAAGGAGGCAGGAGAGACAGGTGTGTTGTGGGACACTAGGATGTTGGGGCTGGACACAGGAGGGCCGGCTTCACTTCCCTGCATGCCCTGCAGCTGTTTTTATATATCTTCTGTGTAACACCATGATAATCGCAAAATCTTTGTAATCATGCAACCTCATGCCTGTTCTCTCTTGTGTAACCTAGTAGTGATTCGAAGCACCGAAGATCTCACATTTGAGTGTGTTTAAAATGCTTCTTTTGTTAACAACATGTACGTCCTTGTAATTCTGACACAGCACATAGACCGCAAGCAGCTCTTAAAGAAAACAAGATGTTCTTAGCAAGGCGCGCATGGATAGTCATCCAGTTGCTGGATGAGGAGGGGGGGCTGTGAGACTTGCAACTCCTGTTATTTACAGAAGCCAGTTAACCTACCAGTAGGTCTTTGGGCTACGGGAGGACATTGGGGTACTAGGAGGAACCCATGCGATCACAGGGAGAACACAAAAACCCCACGCAGACAGCACCCCAGGAATTGAACCCAGAGCCCCAGCCCTGCGAGGCATCAATTCTAACCACTGGCTATAAAGAGAGCTCTGCCAGGGGAAACTGAAAGAGCGAGAAATGTTCTTTTCCTCTCATGCAATTGTGCCTTAACATCACCTTGAATAAAGGCCCGCTGATCGCTTCACCTCTGTAGCCCGTCTCTTGGAGAGGGGTACCCTCGCCTACTTGCCTTCAGTGCTATGTCCACGATCTATGTCCTCTTGGTAGTAAAGACCGGAGAGGAGGCGGGGGGGGACTCACTCTTGATGATGTGCTCTTCGAGAAGCGTGGGGGTGCCCGGCAGGCCGAAGGCAGCGGGGGAGGCGCCGGGGGTCCTCGCGGAGATCAGGGGCGACCGGGAGGGGGAGTCCTCAGAACTGTTCCCGCTGCCGTTCATGTGCACGTTGAGGAACAGCTTGCTCTTCTTCCCACACCTGCAGGGAGCGCGCACACAGACCACAGACACTTTCAAGCTCCACACACACAAACACACACACGCTAAGGCTCTGTTGTTTTTTTTTAGTAGCTTGATGCGGCTTACATGCAAAAAAAACTGAAACGAGCCAGAGTATTTTTCCACTTGTGCGCGGCCCGCAGATTTCAAAAGCTCCCGGAAGTCAGGGCCTCCGACCTACGCTTTTACACAATCTTTACACTTCATAGCTCAAGTCCCGGACCTTGGAAAAGATCCGAAGGAAACAAAACAAAAGGATGTGTGTGTACGTGAAGGGGGAGGTTGTTTCCACTGCCCTGGCTACTGGGCACTGTCTGATAAATAAAAAGGGAGCTGAAGTGCACACAGTACACAAGTACGTTAGAAGGATTACAAACAAGAAAAAGTAATTCGGCCCATCAAGCCCGTTTGGTCAAATCTTTAGTATTGTATTAACAGTGCTGTGACCAGGGTACGAATCTGCAGTGGATTTCAAGTCCAACGTCTTCACCCTCACACCCCCTGCCACAAGACAGCGCATGAACCACCGGAGACAGGTGGCCTCAAGCCCAGCTGGCAAGGCAGGTCTGCTGGCACAGAGTCAAGTCCAATCCGGCATCAGGCTGACGAGCACCTGGGCCGGGCTATAGTTCAGAGGGGTGTGCCAGGCCTCGGGCTCCAACCAAATAATAAATACTCCTCGAAAAGAAACTCCGCAATATCGCGCGTCTCCTCCCCCCCACTTCTCCCCATCCTGCGTAAGCGATGACGACACAAAATCTACCCATCCTCTTCCCACCCTCCTTATTCAATTCAGGGTCGTGGGTGAAGGGGGGCCGGAGCCTATCCCAGCAAGCAATGGGCGCAAGGCAGGGCACACCCTGGGGCACTAGACCACCGTAGGACAGACACACAGACACACACAGTCACTCCCAGCGCCAATTCACAGAAGCCAGGTAACCTACCAGTAGGTCTTTGGGCTACGGGAGGACATCGGGGTTCTAGGGGGAAACCCATGCAGTCACAGGGAGAACACAAAAACCCCACTCAGACAGCACCCCAGGAATTGAACCCAGAGCCCCAGCCCTGCGAGGCAGCAATGCTAACCAGTACGCCACTGTGGCACCCCATCATAACACAAAATAATAATACCAGTTTATTATTACTATTACACTTATCACCATCATTATCATGGTTAATACAAAAGTGATCAGAGCTCCCATTTCTCTGGTGGAAATCTAATTTCTGTTTACTAATGGGACTGTGTAACTGGTTCAGATCCCCAGGTGGTTGTCGTACCCTTGAGTAAAATATTCCACTCAGATTGCTCCAGCACAATACCCAGCCGTGTAAAAAGGTAAAAGGGCACAAAAAACGAAGCAAAACCAAAACAGAATCAAGTTCCACTGTTACCGCAGAACATAAACTTTAAGTGAGTGCAATGCTAATGAAAAACGCACGCTCGATTTAACACATCGCTCAGGGGTGCAACGGTGAGCAACTGCCCGATTCCCGAAACATCTACCACCACACTACGTTTCCAGCCTTATTTCTTTCCAAATAACAAATCAAAGCGATGAAAGTCCGTGTGAGGAACTTTCATTTTTGGGCTCGAGATGGTAACTGAAGGATCCCGCTTGATTTTAGAGCCCGTCGTCAGCTCAAACAGAAAACAGCGACGCTGTGACCTGCAGATTCCCGAGCTGTTCAGGACAGGGTATTGTGTCTTTGATGAGACACAGGAAGCGAGCCAGAGTGACAGAGGGGGACAGAGAGAGCAGGAGGAGGAGGAGGAGACGGAGGGCGCTGCCGAGACCGCCGTCTTCCGGCCGGTCGACTTACTTGCTGGTGGGCGCGTCATCGATGCGGTTGCCCAGCTGCGACTCGTGGGACTTGCTGCGGGTGAGGGTGGTGATGGTGGGCAGCAGGTGCAGCACCTTGCGCGAGGGCGGGGGCGGCGTGCGGGGGGGCTTCAGCCTGCTCTTCCTCTTGGAGGGCGGCGTGACGGGCGGCGTGCTGGCGAGGCCCGAGCGCCCGGGCCGCGGGGAGGGCGGGAAGGGGTCGCCCAGGCCGTCGGCGAAGAGGGGGTGAGCCAGGCAGTCTGAGGAGGGCACGGCTGATGCCGAGATGGAGCGGGGCTGGGCCCCGGGGCCGGGCGCTGTGCACGGGGGCCGAGCCAGTGGCGAGGGGCTGTGGGGACGCAGGTGCCCCCCAGGGCAGGGCAGCTGCTCTGTGGGAGGAGTCGTACTACTGTCTCTCCTCGTGGGCTCCGAAATCCAGGGCCCAAGGTCCTCCTTCAGCTCGCCACCTACAGGGCGACAGACAGCGCCGCAGTTGGACACTCATTCCTACACGAGTAACTACCGAGAGCCGACGCGCACATTGCACTGCCAGCCGTTGCGCAACAGCTTATCCACCTATAAATTAGGTCCAAACTAAAACTTGCCTCATTTAGAATGCAAATTCCGCGCCCCTAAACAAGTCCTGCTCTTTCAGGATGCAGGAACCCACTTAACCACTGATTTTGGATTGAATTCTGTTATTTTGAATGCCTTAGTTCTGATGATCAACACCAGCAATACTGAATACATTAAAAGGTTTCATTCTGGAATTGGCTTCAAAATTTAGGCTTGCCAGTTATTATTTTTCTTCCACCCGCCCGGTTTTGGAGCAGCCGGTTGTATGTTTTTCATGTCTCGGTTTGCAGCTACAAACCCAGGGACCCCACACGGGGGGGGGAATAAGGAAGTGCAGGCAGACTCCCCCGAGCCGCCCACCTTCGAGCTACTCGGCTTTTAATTCGTCACAGCCAGCCCCGTCCCATGCAGGAGACTCAGAGCTGATTGGAGGAGAGGTGCGCCCGTCACAAAACAGCCCCGTGTTACAGCAAGTGCCTGTGAGGCCGCAGGGGGTGTAGCTAAGAGCTGAGACCGCTCCGGCCCATTAATCCCACCCCAACCCTCTGGAGCCCCCGTCATCACTGCTTGGGGGAATACCAGTCAGAGCTGGCTAAAGACTTGACCCTGGCTCGAACCCATGGTCACTGAGATTACTGGTCGATCCCTTCAGGAGTCCTCTGCACATCATAACATTAGCAGTACACTGCCTTTGCCGCGAGTATCAAGCTTCCTGACCTGGGGCTAGACCCTGTGCAGGTTCCTGGACCGGCTGTAATGTTGCGAGGTCGGCCAGGAAAGCTGACAGCAGCCTGTGCAAGCGGCGCATGAGCTGACCTGACTCGCTGGCTCTCTTCAGACAGGAGAGGGCAGCACTGAGACGGGAGCACTCCTCTGAGCTGGAGCCTAGTCTCTTCATGGTCTCCCGAACCTGAGAGCTTGACATCTGCAGCAAGGCATCCAGGGAGAGCTTGACCGGCACTGCCTGTACACACAAACAGAGAGAGTGACGGTGAGATGCAGGTCGACACCGTGAGGTGAAACTGTAGCTACGGATTTCCCAGTACAGACGCAGGAGCTTGGGGAGAGAGGTGAAAAGAACTAAAGAAGAAAATGGCGTGCCAGGGATAGGGATTACTCCTCGTAGAGAGCAAGGTATCCTGCAACAAACAGTTGAGCTTCATCAGGAATCCAAAAGGGTAACTTTCCCTAAATGACCGCATTTTCACTGTTACTGCAATGTGTGTGATTGTATGCTCAGCAAACACGGGCTGCATTGAAACAAAAAGCAGCTTTACAATGCGTAGAGAACAAATAAGTCTCAGTTGACTAGAAGTAGGCTACTAGTAGGCTAGTGCTTCCTTATCATAGCTTTAGAGATGAATGATCCTGGACCTTATTCCAACAAGCACTTCATTTCTTTCTGAGTTTCTGAATTACATTGAATTCAAAACTCCCAAATATTCTGGGACTTAAAGCAACTCGTAATGAAACTCAGAAAACACAAAACTGGACTGGCAGTAACCAATATTAGGCAACTAGGGGAATTAATTTGTGTTCAGGCATTTATGGGAAGCTGGTGATCTATGATTATCACATGTGCAGATGCTGGATTCAAAGCACTATTCCAGACACACTTTGGAGTGTGGCTGAACCCAAACAGAAATCTGCTTCCCCAGAAGACCAGTCCCATGCATCACACACACTGTACTATCAGACTCACCATATTCACTACTGTGAACTCACTGCTGTGCTGCCTGCATGCAGATGCACATCACTCGCCTCAGGCCCAGGCTTCTAATTAGGATTTTAAGTTACTTCACTCTTGCCGAAAACAAACAAGCACTGTTGCAACACACCCCTGAATTCTAACAGCCTCAACTGCACGAAGCTCGAAAAACATCTTAATCAACACAGGCTGCCAGCGTAGTCCAACTCCCGACCACACATGGAAAACTCTCCTCATTCTTGCCCACATAGCAGGAACTTTTTTTTTTAATACAACTGTTTAAGTCCTCATATTGATTCACTGATCACAGCAATACCTTCGCAACTGTGGCTGTCAGGAGGTAAAAAAAAATCAACATTTTGAGATGTTTGAATTTCAGAGCAGCACACAGGAAACAGTCTAGTAATAGAATTAGACTATTAGAACTAACAGTCTAGTAATAGAAGGACTGTTGGTTTTCTGAAAACATAACATAAAAAAACATTTAAAGGACAGGAATCATAAATTCTCCATAGCTGCTTAGAGCAGTTCAGAGCTGTGGTGGGCCAGTCTGTCCCAGGAGACAGCAGGTGCCAGGCAGGATACACTCAGGATGGAAGATAGCATATCACTTGGCACACATACTGTACATGCACTCATGTAGGTGACAATTTTCGGAGATTCCAATTATCCAAGACAGCAGGTCTTTGGACTGTAAAAGAAAACTGGGGCACTTGGCACAAAAACAGCACGGCCACCAGAAACGCAATGAAACGATTCGAACCCGGGAGAGCCATAAGGGGGCTGGGCTGAATTGTCACACCACCATGCAGCTCACTTCATCCCAATTTCAACAAGTGCACAGTTTAACTGTCCTTTCCTACGCTGATCAATTTCATCTCGGATGGGAGTGCCAGATGTGCAGGCAGCTGTTAGCCATGTTGAAGTGTAACAGTGTCACCTGAGCCGAGCTCCGAATCGAGTCACGAAAAAATAAATCAGGGCACATAAGAAAAGAGCAAATTCTCTTTTATTTACCTTAATCACTGCAATGGCTTCTTAACCGCTTGCATGTCCAATTACAGATGTGCATGCTGTTTTGATTGTCTGAAAAGTCCTAACACACATCCACATGTGTATAATACAATGAAAAGGCGCACACTCAGAAGCATTGTTTGAATGCCCCTTAAATAGAAACCATCCGGCCTAGACTTTGAGGGAAAATGACGTTTTTTGTTTTAAGAGAGAGTTACCCAGGTGCGAGTACAGCCAACATCAATGCTTTAACTTCCTAGAATTCAATAGTGTTCGCATTCTGGGCCACAGCTCAGGACAGAGAGTCTGCAGGGCGTGGAAAGAGAGGGGGGGGAGGCATGAGCTTTAATCAAAGGCTCTATTCCCCTTCAATAGAAACAACAAATGAATTACAAGCCAGCTCATCTCCTGAGCATCTGTCCCCATCTGTCAGGGGGATAGGTTTGACAGCAAGGCCATTGTCCCGCAATGCATTGTTTTCAGAATGGAAGATCCAGCCGGACGAATAAAGACATGTGACCTGTTTGTGCAGCCCCATAGACAGGTACACAGCTTTGTGTCACTGTCAGCAGTCATTCTCTTCTATGGCCTCTCTTCAAAGCCAGGACTAGACAAGCAGTGGATCATATACTGCTGACCCCCTTCTACAGACGTACACTTCATAATTCTTTATATAGCACAACCCAGTCATAACCCAATCCATGCCAGTGCACGAGCACACACACAGAGTAATCCACATCATAGATACTAGGCACTGCAGGAAGCCTAATCTTTTAAAGAGATTTTCATGGAGTAAGGCATCTAAGGTAACTGCAAAAAAAAAAGTAATCTATTCATGTGATAATTATCTATCGAAAATCCAAGCATGACATGTTCTCAGCATGTTATCCCACGCAGTAAAATTAATCAGAGCGCTCCGTTTTGACAGAAAGCACCACGTTTTCTCATAAGCCTCCAGGGACAAATTCAAATAGCAGCCACCTTCTGTCTCATTGTCTATAAATGTTGGAAAAGTGTTTTTAAGTGTCCAGAAATTAATCCAATAAAACCAAAATAATATGGAAACAGAATGTTCCTACTTATGTCTGGAGACTGCACAATATTACATTCAAAAGCCTGCCAGTAAAGAGCCAATAGGTTGAGACTACTTGGCTGAGAGGAGTTTTTCCCCCCCAAGAGTCTAAATCTAATGCCACGCCTGGATGAGGAGATAAAAATATAAATAGAAACAATAACCTGATTCAAGTTTTCAGAAACTGCAGTGTCAACCCTCTGCACTTTCACCAAGAGGGAAACACAAATAAGAGGACGCATGATGAAGCACATTTAGAACTTGAAAGTGCATTTAAAACTGAAAACAGGAGGCATCTCTTTACGCAAAGGGTTGAGGAGGTGTGCAACAGGCTACCCAGTTGTGTTGTCGAAGCTAAAGGCTTTTTTCAAGAAGTGTCCTGACGAAATTCTTAGATCAAAAATCTGCATGACCCCGAAGGAGCTTAATGGGCCAAAAGATCTCTCCTCATTTGCAACTTTTCTTCTGCTGCTGTTACACCTGCTCCTGGCGAGTGCTGGCACATGGCAGGGGTGGAGGAGTCTTAAAAAGTTCAAGGCCTTCCACTGCAGGAGACCAGGCCAGACATGACCCCCCAGGAAAGCCACAAGCTGAATCTGGCCAATCAGGAAAGGGCATGTTCTCACTTCTAAGTATGTGACACATGCACAAAGGGTCAAAAACATTCGTCTGATCTGTCAGGGCAGCTCCTGCTCGTTCTTCCAGTGGTGTCGGGGAAGAGGTCGCCAATGCAATGACATTCACCGGAGAGCTCTGGATCAGCAAAGATAAGGTCCACTTCTAGGACCGGTCCCTCTGTCATCAGCAGGACTTGCAGATAATGCCCATCGAGATGAGGAACCAGAGCTGGGCATCTTCAGTCTGCCAAGCGCTGCTTAACTGCAGCTCTTAACAGGACTTAGTTTAATGAAACCATCAGAGGGGGTGGAAACTTTTGCTAATTGAAGGACATGAGATGTCAGATGGCCTGCCAGTGGTCATTCCTTGGAGTCAAAGCTAGCTCATGCCATTAGTTAAAAAAAACAGCAAGGAATCCACTTTGAAGGAAAGCAAAGATGAAAAACACCAAGCCCATGATGCTCGATGTTTTGCAAGGGGCCAGGGTGCGAAGGGGGTCTTGGACGCTTCCAAGTTGGAGCAACAGACCAATACTGTGACGGGGACGTTCTACTGTAAATGGGCACCAACTTTCGGATGAGACGTAAAACCGAGGTCCTGACTCTTGGTGGTCATTAAAAAGCCCAGGGCGTTTCTCCAAAAGAGTAGTGGTGTTACCCCAGCGTCCTGGCCAAATTTCCCCCTGGCCCTATTCCCATAATAATCCCCCTCTCTGAACTGGCTTCATCACTCTGCTCTCCTCCCCACTGAGAGCTGGTGTGTGGGGAGAGCACTGGAGCACTCTGGCCACCGTCGCATCATCCAGGTGGGGGCTGCACATGGGTGGTGGGTGGGAGTCCCCATGACCTGTAAAACGCTTTGAGTCCAGCGTTCAAAAATTATTTATTTTTATATTCTGCTGACAGCTACTCGATCATTACCCAAAGAGGCCGTCAGGCTGTGGACCCGGAGCTTGGCCTGAGAGCCTTCCGGCGGTATTACCTCTGCACATCTGCTGCAGAACACGCTGAACTCCCACGGGGGTGGGGGGCTAAAATGAGTGCCGATGGCAGACTCAGAACAACAAGGTCAGAAAAGCCCAGTTACCAGACCTGCGGCGTTCCACTTTCGATGATCGTCAAAAGCCCGAGCTCATCGTCAAGCGATGCAACAACAAGACAATCTCCATCAACCAGCAACTGAACTGACTGGTACGCCTGGTATTTGCCCAGGGCTTGGGTTAGGTGGCAAGGCAGTGGATCGGGAATTTTCCTACTGCGTTGCCAGCACTGCAGAAGGCTGAACTGGCTTTAGTTTGCCCACACACATGGCCATGAGCGCTGATAGTGCTGCAATAAGACGTCAGTGAATCACTGCCAGGTCCAACAGTAAGTTTCAGGTAATGTGAACAGCCCTGTTCTTTAACAGGGAAAACAGATCACGCCAGAGTGACACAACAACAAGAAAGCACTGAGTACAAAAAACCACACACACTCAGTGCTTTGAGGTCACACATCAGATAGCACATGGAAACAGACAAAAAGGGGAGTGGAGAGTGGAAAAAATGTCCACA